CGTGGCCACATCCCCACTCGTCCTCATTACCTTCTTTCTGTTAGCACCAGGTTTTTGTGCAGTTATGCAGTGAACAGGTTCAAGGATCGGATTTTTTTTTTCTCCAGAGGCATCAGATTAGCTTTCAACTGAATCAGTTCCATCCAAACAGGTAATTGGAAGGAAGCTAGACAGAGAGCTGGGGACATGAACAGAGGCAATACTACTTCTCTGAGTGGGTGGTGATACAAGTTTAGATCATATGTAAAAAATCATGCATCAACAGCATAAATTAAGGGTCCAGGCTCTGTCAACAGGCAGTGAAGACTCTCCTAAATAGATGCTTCCAGTGGGTAATTCAGAATACCTAAACCAGAAGCCTAGACTTAGACAGCATGAATATGACGAGAACATAATCTCTCAGTACCGTAATTTCCACAAAGAGTTGAGCCTCTATTTACAAATACAAATGATCTGGGCTTTAGCAGAAATACTTTTGGTTAATGTTTTTTTCCATGGAAAAATTGAAACTTTCCCCTGTGAGGGGGAAAGAAGACCCTCTGAAGGGCTCTCCTGCTAACACAATAAACATCTGTGGGTTCTTTCCTCTCAAACGCTGTTTTTCTAGGGGGTCCCTCTCTGATGAATTAGCAGTCCCAGTAGATCATGGCAAACAATCCTGCATACCACATCTTAAGAAATGGTACTTCTTGGAACAGATCGGTTTGGTTTGCCTTAACACAGGCAAGTTAGCGCCACATTATCAAATGCACTGAGGTCACCAACTTCCATCAGATGATCTGCTTGATCCTTTTCAGACAAAAAAAAAGAAAAAGAAAAAAGCTTGGATTCCTTACAGAAATCTGAGTGTTCCAGATGGAAGCAGTAGGCTTGGCCACTCACAGCCCACCCACCTACAGATCAAGATGGACTGGAACAACCTCCTCCATGAGCCAGGAAAGTGAAGGGGGCTGGGAGGTGGGAGGAAGAGTTTCATATTTCATCTACCACTTTTAATAGAAAACAGAACATGGTGTGGGGTTGAAAGGAAAATGGTAAATCCCTGGAGATCCTAAGTGTTGGCCTTGAAAGTCAAAACTGTCAATCATACCATGTTCCCCTCCAACTCGTACTTCTTGAAGGGAAGACAGGAGGCAATGGACTGGCGTGTTTAGCCACTAGGTGTTACTGTTGCTCCACAGAATGTGACCAGAGCAACCACTTCAGAACAAGCAAAATGACATCTATCCGAGACATCATCTGCTGCTGTACCTTAAGATGTAAACCACAGGAACTAAACCCAACTTCTGGATTCACATATTGTGACTAAAAATCAGACCACTTTGGTGTGTTTGCTCAAGGGGGTTGTGGAGGTAGACTGCTGCTCCCTGTGTTTTGTTTATACATCACTACATAAACAGAGCAAGTCAAATTCATCCTTGGGGAACTTCCACAGACTTTGATGAAGGTACGCAGGGAGAATTGGGCTGCCTAAGGTGTCGCTGAGCTCATGTCCACCAGTCAGGAAAATACATTGGCCGCTGAGTTGTCTGCTTCCCCGGCCACAGCCTGCACTGACAATTCAAGGCATTTTAATTAATCCTAGATGTGCTGTCAGCCAGGTGGGTAACATTTCTCTGCTTGTGTTTCTCCATCTATAAAATGGAAATAAAGATCCTGGTCTCCTCTAGGAAAGACTTTGAGACCACAAATAAATCAGAGCTGTAGTCCTCAATGATCTGTTGGCATGAACCAAGCAACAAGTTTTGCATGAGCATTTTCTATTGATTCCAGAACAGGTTTTCTGAGACAGAATGATTGAACTGAGTGCTTTCACTAAAAGTGGCTACTAAGGAGGTGTAACAGACTCATGATAAAGAGCAGCGCTGTCAATGCAGCTTAATGTCCTGTGTCCATTTGGTCCTTTTTCATAGCTCTACAAAAATTTTATCCAGAGGACAGCCACACTTCATCCAAACCTTCATCGCTTACTTAAATCAACTGGACTTTGACCCTCACACAGATATCCCTTTGCAGAGATTCGTAAGCCACAATCTTCGAGTTTACAACAATATTGATTTTCTCCTTAATTTTTAGTAACAGGCTTCAGGGCACAAAAACAGGTGTTTCTTCCTTTCAATTCTTGTGTTCTATGCCTTGCCCCCAAATGAACCGGTAAAAATAAACAGAGGACGTAATGCAGGTCTCTGCCTGCACCCACTAGAAAGTTGTTTCTGCACACACACAATAAATGTCATGCAACGCACAACAAACAGGCAGAGCACTCATTCTCATGGTAAGTCTTGCCATGTGGTTGTACTTCTAACCAAGGCATTATTTTCACACACAACTTGATTTAAGTGCTCTAGGGCATGTTTTTCAAAGTTTGGAAACATTGTTACACTACATTAAACAAAGTACCAGTACTAAGCCACAAAATCTTATGAAAGATTTTTTTTGAGTTGTTTTCATAGGAAAATTTTTATACGCCACATTAAATGAAGTATAATGCAAACTTAAAATACTCTTCTCCGAAAGACTGAATGATTTGCAAGTGCTAAAGTACTATCTGAAAGGTGACTGGCACTGCATTTTACTGCTGCTTCCAGCAAAACCTCTGGGCCTCTGACTTGGAGGCGAAGCCCTCTTATCTGCAGTTCATGCAACCAGCATCACATGGCTTGATACAGCAATCAATGTTCTCACAGACATTTCAAAGTAAAGAACATTTTTATTGAAATATTATTGATAGCCTGCAATTGCTTTTGAAGCAAGAAGGAGGATGGAGGATCTGTCCATGGAGAATCATCTGGAGATGATCATTTTTGCTTGCTATCAAAACGTTATGGTGGAAAACTAGCCATCTAATCAACGCAAGACTTACCATTACCAGTATAGTCTGGAAGCCATTCACTTACTGCTGGAGTTCTCTCTGCTGCAGTCTAACAAAGAGTTTTAAACAAGTGAAACAAAATGGCCTTGCTGATTTGTACACTTGTACTCTCAACAAACAGTAACTAACCTAACTTTACCCATATGCCTAAGGCAGATGCTGATAACACCAAATGTACTTGACTTAAACGTCTTTGAAAACACCACCCTAAGTGGCTTGGCACTTTAATTCCTGCTTTCTAAAGTGACTTAAAACCCTAAACCACATGGATAAATCCAAAAATTGCAGCCTTAGTCAGTTGTGCTCTCCTTACTCTTCAGTGGCTAATACAAACACACAAAGACTCTATCTGACACTTCATCTAAAAATTAATCCTAATTGCTTTCTGGGCAGCTACACAAACAGCCAGTTTTACCCAATTTCAGTTACCTCTTACTCTTTTTTTTTCTTCCCCTCTTCTGTGCTGCTGTCCACAATAGAATCCTTTATAACACATTTCTCTTCATGTGCTAGCAGTAGCTAATAACATGTGCAAGCTAATGGGAGAATTTGCCCAGATTTCTTCTTGCTAGGTCACCCTTTCTGTCTTTTCTTTGGAAGTTATTCAGTCTGAAATGTGGAAAATAATATAGCTGCAGAAAGCATTACCTATGAATTATTCTAGTTCATTGTGAATTTGGTCCTGAATCACATGTGGATCTTCACAAACAGAAAATACACATCCAGTCTGCTACAGCAGAATCAAATCCAGTGCTAGGTGCAACTATCATTTGTCCATTGTCTTTGTCCACCAGCCTGAAAACAATTTCCGAAGTTTAAAATACTGTGTGAATGGTGTGATGCCACTGCCATATTGAACCATCCTAAACCATCCCCATGAAAGGAACGAAGCAGCAAATAATCCTACAGTGTGACGGAAAAGACTCTCCCCCCTCAGTGAGAGCAGAGCAATTCTGGTTCACATTTATTAGTAGTGCTAGTAATAAACATTTACATTATGGTAGCGCCTAGAGGCCCTGTTTGAAAGCTTGTCTAAAACTGCTGTTGTACCTGGGCACTAAACAACTCTGAAGCCGCACAGCTGCCTGCCAGATGTTTTTCTCTTAGAAGCTGCAATTTAAAAAAGCCTCTTGCTTCCCTTAACAAGCCTTAATAAGAAGCTTCAAGAGCTTGCTTCATCGTCCATTCAAGGAGAATCTGCAGCTAAAATAGCAAAGAACTTCAGGCAAGGGCAGCACTTCTCAAGCCAGTGAGGGACACCAGAGCGAAGCGCAAGCACAGGGCGACCTGTAAGTGTGTTGAGTATCTGCTAGCCTGCCTCTCGCTTTCCGGAGGGCAGAAAGGCCAAGGGGACACCTCTCCCCTGAAACCGTCCGGGCAGGAGGAGCCGCTGCCAGTCCCGCCCGAGGGACACCAAAGCTGGACTCCCCTCAGCG